AAGGAAAAATGGTCGAAAGCTCAAAGTTTTGAAAACTGATGGTGGTGAAGAGTATGTGTCAAAAGACTTCGCTACATATGTGAGAAAGAAGAGATTATGCATGAGGTGGTGCCACCATACACTCCACAGCAGGATGGAACTGCAAAAAGAAAGAATCAAATCATCATGAATATGGTGAGAAGTATGTTGAAAGGAAAGCATTTACCTAAAGAGTTTTTGGGTGAAGCTGTGTCAACAACAACATACATTTTGAACAAATGTATGACGAAGAAGCTAGAAGGAATTACTCCAGAAGAATGTCGGTCTGGTGTGAAGCCTAGCTTAAGTCATCTGAAGATATTTAGATCTATTGCACATAGACATGTGCTAGATCAGTTGGGAAGTGCACAACTAAACATGAAGTATACGTAAGAAGAAGCAATAATGAATTACTTATACTATGTCTCTATGTTGATGACTTGTTAATAACATGTAGTTGCAAGAAGGAGATCGAAGACTTCAAAGGTGATCTCAACAAGGAATTTAAAATGTCAGATCTGGGTGACATTTCATATTTCTTTGGCATCAAATTCTACAAGAGCAGTATAGGTTTGATGATACATCAAAGAATATATACAGGAGAAATTCTTAAGAGATTTGAGATGAAAGAGTGCAATTCTACTTCGGCACATTCAGAACCAAGGTTGTAACTGTCAAAAGATTCAGATGAAGATGATGTCGATCCAACCCAATACATAAGACTTATTGGGTCATTAAGATGTCTTTCTCACACAAGGCCTGACTTAGCATACAATGTAGGTATGATAAGTAGATTCATGCAGAAGCCAAAGGTATCACATCTAGCAACGACGGAGAGGATATTAAGGTATTTGAAAGGAATCCTCGACTACGGTATTTTGTTTCCTGCAAATGATAAAGGAAAAGAATGCAAGTTAGTGGGATACACTGATTCAAGTTGGTGTAGTGATGTTGAGGATCGAAAATTCACAGCAGGATATGTGTTTATGATAGGTGGTGTACCGGTTGCTTGGAGTTCGAGAAAAGAACCAGTAGTGGCATTATCATCATGCGAAGCAGATTACATAAATGCTTCTCTTTGTGCATGTCAAACAACATGGATGATGAATTTGATCGAAGAAATAACAGGGAAAGATCATGGAGTAATTACCACGAATATCGACAACATGCCAGCTACCAACCTGACGAAGAATCTGATAGCACATGGTTGAAGAAAACACATCGAAATGAGGTTCCACTATCTTCGAGATATGGTAGAAGATGGGAAGATGAACTTGGAACACTGCAGAACTGAGAACCAGTTTGCTGATATCATGATGAAGAGTGTGCAGGTCGAGGTATTCAGAAGACTAAGAGCTATGATGAATATAGATAGCTTAGACACAATGAATTAGGTGGTGTGTTAAATTATAATTCCTTGTATTGAAGCATGTTGCTCGCCAGACACCAGGGTGTGTCGATTTAGCCTAGTATGTGTGTGATGTGTGTGTCGAATTGTCGAAGGAGTTTCCTCGATATAGGATTTCGACTTAGGCCTATTTTAGTAGTTTACTGAATTAAGTATTTTGAGATTTTATAGTTTTGAGCTTTGACTTAGAGAGCAAGCTAACCTAAAACTATAAATATATGTAGTAACCCTTATTATTTTAACACATTGAATATTCACAGAATTTACAGTTGCAAGTGAATAAGAAAGTTTTCCATCTCTTTTCTTTTCATTGTCATTATGTGGTGATAACAATCTTGTTCATCAAGATTGGTAGAAATTCATCATAGGTTTTGGAGGATTTCCAACAAAAACTATCTCTCTTTTCTGTCTTCATCTCTCTCTTCTCTTTCCTTTCACCTTCATCTCTCTTATCTTTCATCTCATATTCCTCAAACAAATCCTACACTGGCTACACTTGGACATGGCTAGATCATTTGAAGTCGTGAATGACATCAATGATACCAAAGAACTTTGGAAGATCACAGTTAAAAAGGTTTGTGTTGGCAAACAATTTGATGCGTTATTGTCTAACTTCTGGTTTAAAAAGGTTTAAAATGGTTTAATATTCTTAAGCTTCTGGTTTTTTTGAATCTGGTTTTTACATTTAACCTTCAACTGATATATATTTCCATCTATGCTTTCGATATCATGCTTTGGAACATCATATTTTATTTTTAGGGTTTTTGTTACAAGCTTTTAGATCTTACAAGTTGATAAAGAAGTAATTTGTAACAAAAATCTAGTTACTTTTAGATCTTAAAGGTTTAAATTTACTTTGATAATTTAAGATTTTTAACATCTTTAATTTTTAGGGTTTCAAATATTTTTTATTTTGTTTTGGATTGATGTTAAATATTTTGAGGTGATGATCTTTAGATATCTGTAGAATGATAGTTCTGCAAATTAATCTTTGAGAAAGAACACTATGTATGATATTAAATCCTCAAAACAAAGGCTTTTGACAACTTCTGGATATTTGAAGTGTGTTTAGGTATGACTCAAACAATTTTCGTGATTATTATCATTTTTTTAGAAATTCTTGAACTAATTTGATATTACTTGGGTTGTTTATCATTTATCTGTATTAAATTATCCCCAGTTTATTTCCTGACATGTTTGTTACTATTTTATGGGATGATTGACAGAGTAATTTGCATGTTACAGTTACATATACAGTTGCAGCTACAGTCGTGTGCATGTACGAGTTTCCTACTCGGCTTACTCCTATCATTTTGCCTTTGATGGCTTCGATTAGACAAGAATATGTCTTATTTTATGATATTTATTATCTGAATGTAATTTGTACATTTGTTTTTGTTTCTATTGCTAACACTGATGTAATTTGGTTACGTAGATGTGAAGGTTCCAATTGCTTGTATAATATAGTTGTTTTTGTATGCGTTTCAGCATTACGATACTCATCAGATTGAATCTCTTTTCGCACATGTTGTTTTGACATGGCTAATATGTAGCAGTTATATATTGTAACACTTTATCTTTGAATTTATGCGAAAATGTGTAAAATTGGATCTTCTATCTGCATTTTAGAATCTATTTGCTGACAGGTAGCTCTTTTATCTCACGCTCTGTTTCGAAAGTTTTAAATTTACATACAAGTTGATTATTGATATTGACAATTCTATTGGCTCTAACACAAACATTTGTTTATCTGTGAAGATGTCTAGCTAGCATGGTCAAGAGTTGGAAAATTTATCATTAGATATTTAGAAAAATTATTTTAAAGAATCATGTCAAAGGATCAGTCTAGTTTTATTTTTAGGGCATGAGTGTGGTTGTCTGTTTGTGTTGCCTAGATTGGTTAGTTCCTCAAGTTCCTTTGTCATGTTTTTTACTATGCTAAAAGGAATTGAGAAACCATTGGTGTTTTTTATCTCTGTTAGGTGTATTGTCTAATGATAAAAGGGGTATTTTTTAACCTAAAAAATTGTGAATGGTTTGATAGCAATGAAGATCAACGACTTCCCCATCACAAAGAACCCATAATGTTCGTCTCATTTGATCATTGTATCTCTAAGCTTTTCATTTTTCTGTCTTCCTATCTCATTTTTGGGTAGCTTTAGCTTTTGAACTTTCTTTGAATACTTTAGAGCATCGTCTCTACTATTCTTGAAAGTCCTTTTGTGCTCTCAGCAAATTTTACGGTTGAATCAGTTGCATTTGATTTGAGAGAAATGTTAGTTCTTGTCGGTTCGTCATCTGGTGTGACAAGGCTTTGGGATTTGAAAGAATCAAAGAGTATAAATTATTTAATTAGTACCATGGATACATGTACTGAATTGAATCTAGAGATTAGTTCCTGCAATCTAGGAGGTTAGTTAAGCTAGACAGTAGTCATCTTTCCTAGATCTTCTATAGCTTACTGAAACAGATTTCTTAATAATCTTCTTCGCAGATTAATATCTTTTATAGCTTACTGAAACAGATCTCTTTATATTGATTTAGAATTAGTTTTAATTTAATTCGATATGTTTAATTTGATTTAACTTGTAGTCATTTTTTTATTTCATTTATTTCCGCTTTGAATTTTACATGTTACCAATTGACTATTGTCAAATATTATTTTTTTCTGTCCTTATTCTAAGATAATCTCTTTTAGTTAATAATATATTATTTAACTTTTTGGAAAAAAAATTAAAATAATTAAATAAAATATTAAAAATAATTTTTTAATATATAAATTAATTTTGCAAAAATTAAAATAAAACAATATCATTAAAAACAAATTAAAAATATTTACATATTTAATTCTATTTTCTTCTTCTTCTTCCGTCAATTCTACCTCGTAAATTCTAGTTTACTGTATCGCTTGTGAACACGAATTCATGCATAGCAGAGCTTACATCAGGTTATTCTTCTTCTTCAATTTCATTTTCTGATATTCTTATGCTTCTTCCATAACTTCACAATCACATGCATCTTTTATTGTCGTCAATTTCCAAGTCTTTCTTGAAAACCCATTGGAATCTAGTAACATGTTTTATTCAAAGAATTTGCTTTTGTTGAATATATGACTTTATCTTGAATGCCCATTAACTGTTTGTAAAAATGTTTCTTCCAACTTTTTCTATATATTCTAATATTCTAATGCATTTTCTGTTTACTTCTGGGAAATGGGAATGTACAAATGTCAATTTTGGTGTAGGGTATTGTAAATACACATGAATTTGCTTTCTAAATGTGTAAAATGTTGAGAGCATTTTATAATCTTATCGGTTGAGAGCAATGTAGGACTTCCGATATTAAAAGAGTGATAATGTTATCTAAAATATGAATGGACTCTAACTTCTGGGTTAACAATTTCATGTTCTTATAGTAATTATCTATTATGAAGTATAATACTAGTTCAAGTTTATACTATATATTTTTCTATAGTGATGTGCTCCTAAATTTAATTCAGAATTGATCAGATGAAAAAAAATTAAAACAAAAATTAATGAATGACATTGACCATAACAATCTTCAATTAATGTTCCTACTTCATGTGGATTTGACGGTCTTCTAATTTTAAATCAATCACAGGAAAACCTATAGCCCTCTCTAGCTCGATTATAAGTATTATGAATTTGTATGGTTTGAATGATGCAGTTGATTCAGCCATAGTTGGTTCTCTAAATACTTTTTCTGTCGCGGTTCCTCCAGCTTCCATCAAAATATGTAATTCCTTGAACTTAGCTCTGATCTCCCTCAATTTAGCCAGCCAAACACCCACTTCTGACAAAACCTCTGTCCTTATTAGTGCAAACGCAAACGTGAAAAATCCTGCTAAACCCTGCAAATATTGCAACTGCATATTGACTCCCTTAAATTCCACTTGGTGACTGACTGATTTTGAGTCCACCCCCTACTTCCACGCAATACTTGGGGTTTCTTGAACTGTTGAGCTTAATTCTCGGACCAGCTTGCCATCAGTAAAATTATGAGATGCTCTCATTATCAACCAAAACCCTCACCTTCCTTCCATTGTCACTCCTCCACAAATGTAAAAAACCGATAGTCATTTTGGTATTATATACAATGAAAGATATACAAACATGCACTGCAGCCTATATGCCTTCATGTGCTCTGTTGAGTCGTTTTCCTCCTTTTTCTTATCGAATCCAAAAGACCAATATTAAGCCCATGCTCCCTTTTATCTTACAGCTTAGCTCCTGATAATGTTCTAGCTCCCGCAATTCTACCCTGGTACTCCTCTCCCTGCATATTACTTATCTGCCTCTATCAGATTTACTTCCTAACCCTTTTCTTACCTTGAACCTGGTTGTCTCCTCCATACATAGCTGTCACGGAAGCAGGATAATCTCTTGACATCACTCGTATCTATCTTGGTAAGCAAGCAATCCTTTCAATGGAGTTCAATTTTCTTCATAAATAATCTGCATCATTTTCATCATTTTAAGGCCTAGACATTACCATTGTCCGAGGAATTGGGAGCAGAAACAGAAATCCAAGTGTAGCATCAATCTCTGCATTGTTGGGCTTGCATTTCTTTATCAAAGAGGTTTCTTAAGTATAGATTGATTTGCATATTGCAGCTATCTTACACTCCTTTTCTGGTGATTTTTGGGATAGTAGAAACTTCACGAAAATTAATTACTTCCTACACTCCTTTTCTGACATTAAACCTGGTTGTTTCTTTCATTTGCAGCTGTCCTGGAAGAAGGATAATCCCTTGAGATTACTCCTATCTTTCCTGGTAAGTAGCATTCCTTTGAATAGAGTTTGATTCCCTTCTTTAAATAATCTGCACCATTTTCATCATCTCTGCTGCTAACCCTTCTCTCCTATGTAGTTTCATGTCTGCTTTGACTTTCTTCCTTCATGCCACTAAGGATAAGTCCCTGGTTGTAGGATTTCCAACTGTTGAAATTTCACTCTTAGTCACAACAAGATGTTTGTAAGTTTCCGTTGTCTTCGATTAATTCAGCTTTTTACTGTAAGAAAAGAAGAGAACCAATGGCATAAAATAAGAGATCTGACATCAACTTCTTGGCTTTGATAAAAGCCCTAATTTCAGTCTATATAATAATAACACGAAAATTTCCTGTCTGAGGAAATTCATTGTTCTTTTATTCAGTCTTGATCAGAACACATAATGAGATCCAATTGGAAATAGATCTTAGAAATAAATTGTCATCCACTTGTTTAGTGATGACAAATGTTGAAAATAAGAGGTACGGACTTCATTTTCCTCCCTAAAACAATTGTCCTAAATAACTTATTTACAAACTAAAACTTTTCATATGAGGGCATTGGTCTAGTGGTATGATTCTTGCTTTGGGTGCAAGAGGTCCCGAATTCGATTCTCGGAATTGCCCCTTTCCATTATTAATTGTATATTTAATTCAGTGTTTGCATAAAATAATTGCCTGAACTATCAAATTTATACAATCACTTTTTGCATAAAATAATTGCCTGAACTATCAAATTTATACAATCACAATCAGAATTTCCCATATAAGGGCATTTGGTCTAGTGGTATGATTCTCGCTTAGGGTGCGAGAGGTCCCGAGTTCAATTCTCGGAATGCCCCTTTTTGAAGGTGGTTAGAAGTTAATTTTGACAGTATTGTTGCCCGCCCCTTCTATTTATGTACGACAATTTTTCATATGTATAAATTGCATGCAATGTTTAAGGAGTTGATATCTTCTAAGAATTTTTTTCTTTCTATGCTCCAATTATGAATATAACCCCTCACCAAATAGTTTAAGGGCTCAAATATCTAATATTTGCCGTTACATCATGTTGGTAAACTCTTTTGTGCAGTTCTAGTCTGTCTAGGGAATTATTTTGTTCTGGTGTGAGTGTGCTGCTTTTGGTTGCCTGTTTTGCCTAGGGACATCTTTTGTTCTGGAGTGAGTTTGCTGTGTTTTTGTTACTTATTGTTAGTGTTGTAAAACTCGGTTGTGGCATATGTTATGCCTTGGCTTTCTTAATAAATTTTGGTTTTTTTTAGCCTTAAAAGAAAGTGGTCTCATTAATGCAAATATATTATCTGTTGTAACTGTAGTTAGAGATCTTGGATGTTTGATATCAAATCAATGACTAAATTGTTTTTAATATAATGACTATAATATAATTGTTCGTTCTCAAAATAATAATTGAGATTGATTATCATGTGTAGCTGTGTAATATTTGTATGCAGAAAATCCAAGTCTCACTATTTGATGTAAAGCCACAAAAAGAAATAGAAAAACTAGTGACCACCCAACATCATCCCTTGAATGACTTTGATATCAGTCTGCAATGCAACATATCAAACAGATTCATAGAACAAAAGTTGAGTGCTTCAGTTCTTTGCTTTAGATGTTTTACAAATCAACTAAAAACTGACTCAATGTTGGTGGTCTTTTTTACATGAGATGATGAAACAAGAAACTTCTTTCATTGATTGATTCAGTCCCCTGCACATGTGAAACTACATCAATTCAAGCCCATCTTGAAAAAAAAGGGAAACTTTTTGAAGTCAAGATTATACGCATACCACA